AATATTCATTTCACTAAGATGTTGAGAAATGCATTAGTGAGGTAGTCCCAGCATCCTTAAACGCCTCCAGGTAGCCCAAGGACGATTGTGGGAAACGTTGCCATTGAGATGGGCTTCCTAATTTCAGTGGGGATAATGAGATCCCAGAGTGGCAATCAGAATTTTTTACTCAAAGTAAAAAAAAAAAAAAAAAAAAAATATATATATATACACACACACACACACACACACACACACACACACACACACACACACATATATATATATATATATATATATATATATATATATATATATATATATATATATGGTGGTGGTTGACCCTAAGAATTAAATATATGGCTGGACTAAGCAATAGAAATACAACTTGAGTTCTCAGACCTTCTTAGTTCACAGATCTGACACTCTGGGTTAGAGAGGAAGAAGGGGACCCCTTGAGAGAGGACACTGCAACAATGCCACAAATACTTACTGTAGATCTTTCCCCAAGCCACCCCCAAGTCGTTTACTAAGGTGTCTATGCACTGGGAGAAATGGAAATACCCCAGCTTTTCAGGGATTCCTAAACACCATTCTGAAATGATACTAATCCTTTAGGAACCCCAAATGCCACTGTGGTCCACTGGACAAATAGGGGCTTTAGTAGTCCCGCTTATCTGTGGTTTCACTTCCCTGCAGTCAACAGTGATACAAAAACATTAAATGAAAAATTTCAGAAATAACTATGTCAAAAGTTTTAAATTGTTAAGCCTTTTGAGCATAATGATGAAATCTCACACTGACCTGCTTTTTTGTGACCCAGGCGTCTGTACCTTTGACCAGCATATCCATGCTGTATATATTCACTGCCCATTTGCTACTTAGTAGCCAGCTCGGTTATCGAATTGGCTGTCGTAGTATCTCCGTGATTGTGTTTAAGTAACCCTTATTTCACTTAATAATGGCCCCAAAGCATAAGAGTAGTGATGCTGGAAATTAGGATATGCCAAACAGAAGTTGTAAAATGCTTTCTTTAAGTGAAAAGGTGAGTTGAGAACAATAAGATACTTTAAAAGGAAGAGGCCACATTCACATAAATTTTATTCTAATTGTTCTGTTTTATTATTAGTGTTGTTAATCTTTTACTGTGCTTACTTTATAAATTAAACTTCATCATAAGTATGTATGTATGTATGTATGTATGTATGAATGGATGGATGGATGGTTAGGGAAAATGTAGTACAGTATACGTATATCAGCACTGTCTGTGGCTTCAGGCATCCACTGGATATCTTGGAACATAATGCCACAGTTAAGCGGGGAGAGGTGTACGGTGGCCAGGTGATAGAGTTTGGGCCTAATTCCATCTTGTTGTCATGTGATCCACGAAGCCATTAAAGATAATAATTAGGGAGAGCAGTCAGCAACATAGTTGCTTATGGTACAAAGAATAGAAAATTATATGTTACAACTAACTATAACTAAAGGTATTATGTACATGTCTGAAAGAAGAGCAGATGCTGTCAGTAAAAATGAAAATACTTTTGCTTGGATGATGAGATCATAGGTGTTTTTGGTTTGTTTGGTCTTTCTCAATTCCTCAAACTCTCCCAAATGCTTTTTTTGCTTCCCTTTTAAAAGGTACTTTTTTTTAAAAAAAAAAAAAAAGACTTAAAACTCATCTAGCTATTTTATTTTTAAAATGGCCATTTATATACTTTTTAGGCAATCATAGTAAAGCCATAAAGGTAAGAAGATCAAGTGTAGCCACTCTCCTCAATATTATAATGAATACTAGAGGCCTGCAGCATAAAATTCATGCAGGAGCAGGCCTTCCTTCCCCCAGCTGCCGGTATCAGCTTCCCTCTGGCACCTGGGACCTGGGCTTCCCTGGGAGCCCCAGCTTCGTTCGCAAGGTCGTCCAGAAGGACATCCAGTCTAGTTAGCATGTTACGCTTTTATTATTATAGATGCTGTAGAATAGAACATTTATCATACTCCCCTAAAGAAGCCTGAATTTTGGGTTACTGGAACTGGGGATCCCTCTCACTATTTGGTATTCTGGAGAATAGCCCCAATCTAGGACCAAAGATGGCAGTATTTTTACCGAAACCATTATGCAACCATTAAATACCCCCAATCAAGGATTTAGCATGCTAACCACATATCTGGGGGCGGGTGGGGGTTCAGAATAGGTGGGCTTACTTCCCCAGTGGGAGGCCTTATCTGCCGGCCCTGATCGCCATAGCATTAGGAGGTACTGCTCCTCCAGCAGGGACCCCAGACCAAACCCTGGGAAACAGCTCAGGGACCCCTCCCTTCTGAAGAGGGCATCCAAGTGAAAGGCTTTCTAACCTCTAGGAGCCAACTCTCCTGATGAATATTAAACTTACTGACTTGGATGGGCCCTGGATGGACACTTAGGCAAAATTAGGAGAAAAAAACAATTGAGTTTTATTCTTCAAAGGCATTCTTTGTTTTTTTAAAGTCAGGGAATGGAGGAATTTAGGTATTATATGACTTGTCTGTTACTCATTTCACACACCTTCATTCTCATTATCTCCAAATTCTCCTTAGCCTGAGCACCAGTTCAATAGCTTGCTTTAGGCCCTAAGACACTGTTATACTTGTTAATATACACATTTGGATAGTTCCTGAGTCAACTAATGCTCTGAGCTTCATGGCCCCAGCATAGAGATAAAATTTAACACAATGAAACTATCGTTGGTGTGCCCAGTCATTCTCCTGCTTGACATACGCATTAGGATCCACAGGATTTTCCTTTCTTTCTTTCTTTCTTTCTTTCTTTCTTTCTTTCTTTCTTTCTTTCTTTCTTTCTTTCTTTCTTTCTTTCTTTCTTTCTTTCTTTCTTTCTTCCTCTCTCTCTCTCTCTCTCTCTCTCTCTCTCTCTCTCTCTCTCTCTCTCTCTCTCTCTCTCTCTCTCGACTTTAAAAGACCCCAATTTACTATTGTTTAGAGATACACGTTCAGTATTAAAAGTAAAAAGACAGATATACCAATAATAAGTACCCAACTAAGGACAATATTTATCTCTTTGGAAAAAGAAGGGAAAGATGTTTTGTTTCTAAAGCAAGGTGGTAAATAAAAAAGTGTTCATTATATTTTTTTTGTATGACAGATCTATTTCACAATTTAAAAACTTTTTGGTCATACAAAAAAATTGCATAGAAAAAATTAGATGGTGTTGTTATGGGGCAGATTCTATTTCCCAGAAATGGTTACAATATCTTCCATCCCACATGCTCTTCTTACAATCTGGCTGACACCCCTCCCATTGAGAGGTGGGGGTCTGTGTTCCTCCCCCAGAAACTGAGTGTGTTTTGGTCAAAAGGATATTGTACAGGTGACACTAGGTGATTTTCAAACTGGGCCATAAATAGTGATACAGCTTACGCTTTGTTCACTCAAAGAAGCCCAAAGTAGCCCACAGAGGAAGACCATGTAAAGAATCTAGCCCTGAGACTTTCAGGGAAGAGATGCATAGCTAGTTCTCAACTTCCCTGGTCCTGATTCTTCCAGTTCTGTTTTTTGTTTGTTTTGTTTTAATGTCTTTATTAATTATGGTATCACATAATTGTCCTCATTCCCCCATTCCCATCCCAAACCCCTCCCCATGTATGCCTCCACGTCCCTCGTTGTCCGTGGCCACTGGTTAGGCTTATATGCATGCATACAAGTTCTTTGGTTGATCTCTCTCCCCTTCCCCCACCGTCCCTCCACAGGATTTCTACAGTGCCAACAATCAAAGACCTTGATTAGAGGGTATCACCACCATATCCCAGAATTAGAAACTGAGCCAGTGAAAAGGTAAATTAAAAGTCATATAGAGAGCCAGGAAATGAGCCTTTCTTTGGGGCTTTGACCATATGGCTACTCATCTGAAATCTTTTTAGGCACAGCATATTAGTATGTCAGAAATTTTAAAGGTACATCACTGATTTCCAAGATTAAAAACCCACAATAACCCAAAAGAATGTTTGGAAGGAAAGATGTAGTTAAAATAACAACAAAACTACCACTCAACATTATGTTACTAGAGGCCCGGTGAACAAAATCCGTGCACGTGGGGGTGTTCTTCAGCCCGGCCTGAGCCCTCTTGCACTCCGGGAGCCCTTGGGGGATGTTTGACTGCCATGGACATGGGAGAGGCTCCCACCACCACCGCTGTGCTCGCCAGCCGTGAGCTCAGCTCAGGGCTTGTGGCTGAGTGGCGCTCCCCCTGTGGAGTGCACTGACCACCAGGGGGTGGGGGTGGGGGTTGTGGTGTCAGCTCCTGCGTTGGGCATCTGCCCCCTGGTGGTCAGTGCACATCATAGCAACCAGCCGTTCTGCTGTTTGGTCGATTTGCACATTAGCCTTTTATTATATAGGATTACAGATCAAATAAATGCTTTGTGATTTAGACTTCACAAAAATACTCACTGGCTTTTCTCCATGATTTGTAGTTGGCCACCCTGTGTACTTAAATGCTTCCTGTGGATTAGAATGACTTAAATGCTTTCAAGATTCCAGTAAGTCATAAATGGCTTGACTCTGTAGAAAGCCCTGTCTGTGAGCTGATAGTTTCAATAGGCTTTTCCTATAGATAAAAATTACTGGCAATCTGTCCATTTCTGTAACTAAAGATTTCCATCATCTCCGCTCTGGGAAGTTTTTGGAAATTTAGGGGAAAATAATTCCCTTTGATTTTACTCTGACTGCAAGAAGGAGCCTGAGAACATGAACTGGGGTCCAGGATCCAATGTGGTCATTTTCTAAAGTGCAATAGTGCTTCTCAATCACAGGCTGTAGAGGTGAGAGCCAGATGGGGTGGGCTGCCTGCTGTCCTCTGAGCATACAATGGCCAGGAGCTGCCCTGCCTTGTTGTTGTCTCCTGATTAAAGTGCTGGTCATGTACGGGCATTTGAAAAGTGCAAACAAGCTCTGAGGGCCAAGGGATTCTCGTTCAGAGTCCAGAGGCTTCTTGAGGATGTCCCATCAAGTCACCCCAGCTCCAGAGATCACACGTTCAAATCTGAGGAGAAAAGTTCATAAACAGGAAAATTACTTTTCTGATTAGGAAAAATAGAACTTCTCAAGGAAAAAAAAATTGAAGTGAGAAAATACTTCAGGATAAAAATCTTATCTATCTGGAGTCAGTATGGTTCAAAACCTCTCTTTTTAATCCTCTGACCCCTGTCCTAGTCTCGTGCAAGTCTTCAGTCTCTCTGTGCAGACCTATTGTAAGAACCTTTTTCCCTCCGTTCTCTGGGCTGAAGACAGCTCAGTGCTACTGCAGTGTAGTTCATGGGGCTTCCCTAGTCAGACTCTTTTGTAGTTCCCCACTGTGCCAGATAGTTCTGTTTGTTCCTAGAGATTCAGTCTCCACGCTGCTCTTTCCCGCTCATGCCCTAGGAGGATGACATTGTAGACTAGGTCACTGGCTTTCATCCCATTCTTCCCCTAAGCATAGGACAGAAAGGAGATTGCAGTGGGGAGAGAGTGGAGTTAGGGTATGCATTCCTCAGCAACCTCCCAGACAGGTTACAGGTCAACTTCATTCCTCTGTCAAAGGCTATAGCGCCTTGTGGGTGTCCCCTGCTCTTGCTGTCCTCTTCAGGGTTCTGGTAACTACACCTTCCCTTTTCTCCTTCAGGCCCAGGGATGTTTAACTGTTCCCTGCTTTTGCTAATTCCAGAGTGCTCAATATTCCTTGCTGATATCCCCTAACCCTGCTCATGTCTTTGTAAATAGTAAAAACTCATAAAATTGCTCTTTCACTCTTTCTAACTTTTCCTTCTGAGAACTGCTGAGGCATCATGCCCAGTGAAAATAATCTAATCTCCTTTGTCTGGAATTTATGACTTATAATGCCCCCAACAGTCTTTCCTCTTATCTCACACCTGGCTCTTTTCAACTAAGATCACATGCTTTTTCCTACAGATGACTCAGGTCTCCTTGCTTCTCTGCTGTATCTCTTACGTCCCCTCTGTTTAGATAAGAAGCTCATTAAAACAACAAACAAACAAAAACAAACAAACAAACAAAAACATAGAAGATCAACCAAAGGACTTGTGTGCATGCATATGGGCCTAGGTAGTGGCAATGGACAACAGGGGGTTGGGGGCATATGTAGGGAGGGTTTTGGGATGGGAATGGGGGATGAGGACAATTATGTGATACCATAATCAATAAAAAAATTAAATTAAATTAAAAAAACCAAAAACATAAGAGATTGAGTCAGTTGCCAGGGGGCATACAAAAAGCTGATCTCTTTTATTTTAATTTTAACTTGGACCAATAATAACAGTTTGAATACCTTATCTCCAATACTCTATTAATCTTGGATAACTAATGCTGTACTTATTTCACTCTTACAATTCCTACACAGTGTACCTGATGCAAAATAGCAGAAACTTAATACTTTTGATAGTAAATGAATGAATGGCACTGTACTGGGAATAACAAGATTGTGTTTTTCTGTGATTATATCCTTCAAGAAAGTAATTTAACATCCCTTAGCCTTAACATCTCACTACCTCAAAAATGAGGAAGTTGGGTCTATAAACTCTCACAAACCACAGCTTGATGACTAGAATAAATCTTTTGTAAAGATAGCATAATATATACCTTTGGTATCAGTATCAATTACTACAGTTTACTGGTTGACAGCTTGGTTACTTGTGTAAGAGCAAGAAGTCATGGGACCCATAGCACAAGCGAGTAAGGTTAGCTACAAGAACAATTTACACAAATGGAAAGGGCTGTGTGCCATAGACAAGGGCTCAGGTGGCATGCATTCTAGCTCCAGTTATAAGATGACCTTGTGTAAGTCACCTCATGTTTTACATCCTTGCAGTATGTATTCATCCCTTCTGGGTTGGCTGGGCTAGTAATCTTTGGAAGGCAACTAAAACATTGGTAAGTATCATTGAAAGGGCATACACTGAGTGGCCAGATTATTATGATCTCTGGATATAATAATCTGGCCACTCAGTGTACACCCTATATCATATAAGGCTAACATGCAGATTGTCCCCTCGACCAAGAGTTCCACCAGCAGGCAGGCCAGACCCCACCCATGCACGAATTCATGCACCAGGTCTCATATATATCCTAGCTAATAAAAGAGTAATATGCAAATTGGCTATCATGCCAACACACAAGATGGCCGCCCCCATTTGGTCAAAGATGGCTGCCCCCAGGTGGACAGTATTTTAAATGGTAACATACGATCTATTAATATTTAGTAGAGGTTCCAGTTTTCCCGTTATATCCGTTAGGGAAGACTAGTTTATGGTGCAATAACAACTCCAATATAATAAACAAAGGTATATTTTTGCTTATATTCCATGTCCAATGCAAGTCATCAGGGTGCTCTGTTATTTGTAAACTACTCAGAGACCCAGGCTGATACAGTAATCACTAGCTCAAGTGTTGCTGGTTATCATATCAGATGAAAAAAGAAAATATGGCAAAGCACACTCTGGCTCTTATGCTTACATTTACTTGACCAAAGCAAGTCACATGACCATACCTAATTACCAGTTAACTACAGAGAAGTGCAAACCCATAATGTATATAAAAATAAGACATCCAGGAAATGTGTGAAATAATACTAATGACCATCACATCCATGACAGAGAAGGATGAGAATAAGCTATTTCTTCAGGCATACTATCTGAGTCTTTTTATCTTATAATAACAAAGTGAAGGACTTGAGAAGGCCCTTCTAGGAATCTGGATTTCCACAAGAATAAGAACAGGCAACACCTTTCTCAGCGTTGCCCAGAAAGTTATAGGCAGAGCCATGGAGTGGAAAACCAAGCTGTAAGCAGCTGTTTCTTGAGCCTCTGAGCCCTGCTGGGCCCTCCCACAATAATCACATCTCACCTTCAGTCTCTGGTCACTGAAGCAAAACCTACAAGCTCTTCCCTGCTTAAATAGGAAGGGAAAACATCTGAATAAAGTCTTGGTAGAAGTAAGTGCGATGGACATGCTTGGGACAAGTCCCAAAACTCCATCTCCCAAGATTATGCTAGGTAAGGACATGAGAGCCCAGGATGGCTCTTGAACAGCTGGAACTCAACACTGTCCCAACATGGTAGTTTGGGGGTGAGGCAGAGCTGTAATGGCAGAGAAGGGTATCAGAGAGTGTGAGCCTTGAGTTAGCTAGGCCCAAGTACTTCCTAGTGGGGCTCTCTCCTTAGATAGCTCAGGTAGGAGTAGGAGTGGCATTAGACGATTTAACACGGGAACAAGTACATTGACTATGGGAGAAGGTACAGCCCAGGGAGAACCTCAAGGTCAGGGTCAGCAAACTTTTTCTGTAAAAGGCTAGATTGTAAAAAATTTAGAATACATATCCCTCTTGGAATTCTTAAACTCTGCTGTCAAGGCAGGGGAAGGGGTGTAAATGCTGTGCGGAGGAAGGGCAATATAGAAACAATGGGCATGGCTCTGTTTCAATAAGATTTTGTTTATAAAAACTATTGGCCCCTGGTTATAGTTTGCTTAAACCCCTTTTAGTTGATACATAAAATGAATAGTAGAGTGTAACTCTGGTTGATTCTCATTTAATAGATGCCTAATGAAAGTACACTTTCTAAGATGTAATAGGCTTTCAAGGGAAGAGGAAGAGCCTCATCTGATTTCTAGAAATTTATGTTAGTACTTTGGGAAATGCAGATGTTACTCCTGTAAGCTTTTACCCAACATAAATGCTGTAATTAATACACTTATTTTCTTTTAATAAATATATGGCATAGGACATTAATGTTTATATAGCCTGGACCTGAGAACCCAGTTTTCCTAAATCCAAGTAGTGTCTATGGAAACAGTCATGTGAAGTAAAAATACAAAAACAGCACAGGAATTATAAACACCATATTTAACCTTGTAAACTGGGTAGCAGAGATACAGATATTCCATTGTATTTCCCCTTTACTTTGTTTTATGCCTGAAATATTTGTGTGTTTAATCCTCACTCGAGGATATTTTTTTTTTTTTAGAGGAAGAGGGGTAACAGAGGAACATCAATCTTTTCTCTGCCTATATAAATGCTGTAATTAATACATTTATTTTCTTTTAATAAATATATAGTATAGGACATTAATGTTTATATAGCCTGGACCTAAGAACCCAGTTTTCCTAAATCCAATACTTGTCTTCTCAAGATAAGAACAAAAACAGCCGAAACCAGTTTGGCTCAGTGGTAGAGCATTGGTCTGCAGACTGAAAGGTCCCAGGTTCGATTCTGGTCAGGGGCATGTACGTTGGTTGCGGGCACTACTTAATGGTTGTTTGCATGAGTTTAAAAATCTCTATGATAGGCCATATGTTGTCTATATCTTTCTGCGATATGTCTTTCTTTCCTCTCAAAATTATATTGTTCAGATTTAACCATCTTAAAAATACATCTAGCTTTGGGGCTTTCATTTTAATTATTGAAAAGCATTCTTCATCTATTCTCCTATTGATTCATATTTTATTATTTTCAATTTGTTGCTATTAAATGTACCAGGTAGATTCCTATGTGTGATTTCTATGATGTATTTGCATGTGGTCCTGACCTCTTTACATCATACCACATATTCTCAAGTAAGTGCCAGGGAGGAGTGAGGAAGAGAGGAGGAGCATCACCCCCTTACCTCCCAGACTCTCCCTTCTCCCCATTAGGAGGTAGAGGACAGGAGACTGTACTTGGCTGGTGAGGTTGGTGGAGCAGAATTAGGTGCATTTCTTTCATTTGACTTATGATTAAGATAGTTACTTTATTTTGAATTTTAGATACCATTAAGAGGATGTGAGGTTTTTTTATTTGTTTGTTTTCCCCCTGTTTATAAGGAGATACATTGGTTAAAAATGGTCGTGCTATCCTGTTAATCCAAAGAAGTTGCTCTATAATAAATAGTGCAACATTCAAACCGGTGACAGGCTATAGGGTGAAAGATTTAGGAATGGCAAGAAGCCTTTGAGCATTTCTCAATTCCTCAAATAGATGTTTCTGTCTTCATTACTCTCTAGCTAGAAAGG